CTACATCTTCGCATGGGAAGGGGCCAGCAGTATTGGAGAATATTGCATTACATGTGCTATTTCCAGTGAACGTACAACACTGCCTATGAGCTAACATAAGGAATGTGACCTGGCCTTGCATTTGTTCCACATCTGTAGCTCCTGGAGCCGTGTATACAGACCTACTCCAAAGCTACAAGCTTGTTCTCCCTGCAAAAGGGAAAAACAATTAGAAAACCTTTGTATTCTTTGCACTTAAAAGGGCAGGTCCCCTTACACCAGATACTGCTCTTTCAGCAGATCTTTGTGGGTGGAGATTTCATATCAGCATGTCTGCCAATTCCTGCCAGAGTTTCATCCAAGCCACAATATATAGAGTCAACATTAATTAGCATTAATTATTATTTATAAGAAGCAATATTATCTGCATTGCTATCATTCACATTTATTTTTATGCCTTACACAGGGTTCAATACATGGTACCTCACTGCTCAAATAGAATAAGGTCCTATGGAATCTGCAGACAAATGCACACTATTACCATCCTTAAACCATTTTGAAGAGGTCATTGTAAAAGCTAGGAGATCCCCTTTTCTGCACTTCCATCAACTTGCCTTCTACTTTCTGTTTATAGTCAAAATTTTTCTTTTTCTTCCCCCTCCTCACAAACAGGAAAGAATAATAAAAAAACCCAAACAAACAACTATCTAGAGATCATAAAATCATTCTTTCCAACCAGAAAAACAGAAAAGAATCAACACAAGAGCAGCATTCCCCCACACCATTTGGAACCATCTAAACTCAGTGTTTTCAGTATAAAACTCTCAAGTGAGACTTCTGCACTTTACCAGAAGGAACTGGTTTCATATTAACAGTGAAAACATACTCAACGAATTTATGTTGAATTTATTCCTCCATCTATTTTGTTGGCACAAGCAGGAACTTTCTTAACCATCACTTTATTCTGCTTCAAATCGTGTCTCCAACCAGAATTGTCCCGTATGAAATGGACTTTTGTGTTAAGCAATGGGGTTGATTTTATTTAGTTCCCATAAAAGTGAGAAAATTGGCAAATATTACAAAATTCAATTTAAAACAGTTAATTGCCCCAGATAGCTATTATTAGTACTATTGAAGTTATTAGTATTGTTGATAATAACTGCTCATAAATAATGATTTGCATGCATTAAATTTAGTTGGAAGAACTTATGAGCATTAGCAAATCCTATAATGAGCATGGTCCATATTCTCCTTCTAATGAATTATGCCTCACTTCCAGTTTAAATAATATTTTTTACCACTTTGTTTCTTGCTTATTTTGTTGCTTGATGCAATACACAATAGCAAAGGCACCAAGATTAGTTCAGTGAATTCAATTTAGAAAGCCACTCTTACATAGGCCAAGTTTAATGAAAACACTTCAGTATGTTAAAGTGAATTCCCTTAACCAATCCAGGCTGGCTGGAGAAACACTAATAATCAGCTGGAACTGCTGAGTCAAAATTACGGATGAGATGGAAACACCGAGCACATTTTATGCACTCCCATTGCTTGTACTCTATTTGAGATTGTTGCAATCACAAATTATGCACTGCTCTGAAACACTACATACTTTAACCAATATGAATTGCAACATTTTGCTGAGGAGTCACAACATGTTGTGTCACACTGCATACACCTTTCAGCCAGAAGTATGAACTGAAAAGAGTAGGAAAACTTTGCATTGCCATTTGCTGTTGAAAGCCAACTTCCATCTGAAAATTTTGCGAGCAGTTTGATTTCTATTGAAATATACATTTTATTTGCTTTACTAAGAAAACAGACTTGACTTATTTAAGTTTTCAGATACAGAAAAAAGCAGCTTTAAAATTAAATACTGTTGGACATATTTCTAATTTCCCCTATTATTCACATAAGCATTGGATTAATTTGGCCCATAAGGTATCTAATCAGAGGAAAGAAACCACACTATTTTGCTTATACAAATAGCAAGTATGCATGCTACAGACATTATAAAGGAGTTCTTCAGTAGTTGTTGATTTTTAGCTAAAATAAGTCATGAATAATTTGTATAGAAGGGCACCTGAGAATACAGTTCATGGCGTATGGGCAATTAATACACAGAAAAATATTTGCAGAAATGAATCATTACGGCTTGTTGCACTCTGTTTGCTAACTCTGAAATGTTGTTCTCTTGGTTATTTATACAAAAAACAGGAAGAATGCTTCCAGAATAAAAAAAGCATTCTAGATGAAAAAAAAAAAAGTTTGATCTTCATTGTATCTATACCCAGTAATTACCATGCCATTATATTTATAACAACAGTCAAGCACTTCACTGGCATAAACAGACACACCTCTTTCAGCAGCAATCACACAATCACACATGCTGGTAGCTATCTTCATCCAAAATGCACTGATAGTTACATGTGAAGAATGTATAAATTATTGTCCAGATCTTCAGCTGGTTCATCACACGGCACTTCACTGAAGTTAATAATGCTGTACCATCTGATAACACGTCCCATTATTCACAGCTTAATTAAACTGTGCATGGAAAGTTAACAGAAAGAGGTAACCAACCAATGCAACACAAACAACACAAAACTCAGCACGGCAAACTTAAGCTGGCTCTGTTAAGCAACACATCAGTAACGGTGGAAAGAACACTTTTGGAAAGCAATCAGTGTCAATAAACACATCCTTTTTAGTATTGATGAACCACAGCAGATATCAGGACACATATAAAAACACATCTTAACTCACCTTTTCCTGGAGCAAGCACTGATGTTCAAGCACTTTGCAGAAAGAGGTTACAAAACAGCCTAATAGGAAACATTCTTCTGCACAAGTCATATCAGAAATGACTATAGGCAAGTGGCAGCCAGGCAAAGGAAGAAAATACCTGCAATGCTCGAGGTGGAACACAGCATGCAGCTTTTAAGCAGCAAATAAATTTTGAGGGGAAATCCCTCTCACCTTACACAATGCTTTTTTGCCTACCTCAGTATGTTAAATCCTATCTTAACTTCAGGATAAAGTTTGATTTAATGATGAAAGTAGCTTTTCTTTTCACAATGAGTCACCTTACATAAATAATCTTAATAAATGGGCAGAGTATCTCAAGCATTAAAAACTGGAGAACCTTAGGTGCTTCCTAAGAGAAGACAAACAGACTGGAATTCACCTTAAATGCTTTTCAGAGCACTGGAATACATCCCTAGTGGTCACCTGGGAAGCATTAGGCTTCCTTTTAGCTAACAGAAATAGGTACTACAGGGTGAAAATCACTTCATATACTACAGTCACCTGTTTTGGGATGAGATTATAACAATTCCCTGGTGTGATAACATGTGCAGGCATTTAAAATTTCAGGCAGCAGCACTGAGAACCCACTATCTGCAAAATACAATCTACATATTTAGAAACCTTTAAAGGTCCAAATTTCCAGTTCAAACTGACTATTATGTCTTTTGTTCTTTGCCTTTACTTTCTTGTTACCTGGGAAATTATCTGTGTTCTCCACTGTTTAAAATAAAACCACTCTTCCTAGTGCTATAACTTTTGAACACTTTAATACCTTAGCCAATAGTTTCCTTGTAACAAACTGAAATAGTGTTCATAAAAAAATAAATTATTTAGGCTGCATCAAATCATACCTTTGAAAAGGAAGACTCACAACACACACACACAAAAAAGACGATTTCCTTGCAATGTTCTTGGGCAGTACTCTTCAGCATCACTGAGACAGAAAACCAACCAAACCTCAAAAATGCTGTAGAGAACAAAAGTGCTGCTCTTTCCTGTCAAAATCAGATGGGAGCAATAATACCTTAGCAAAGCTTCAAGCTATAAAATGAACACAAATATCCATTTAAGTTACATTTTGCACTTGCCAACTAAAAAGAGCCAGGACATGCCCTCCAGAAGCTGCCGTGTGATTGTCCACGCTAACTAGCCACAAGCTTCCTGACAAGGGCTGTCCCTCTTACCCAGTACTTTCTCATAGCACACAGAGGCCTCTATTCAGGTGACAACACAGACAAAGGACAGTTCCCTGCAGACAGCACAGATGAGGCCACTTCTTTGTAAGGAAGAGAACTGAGCCATGCTGAAGCCCTCAGGGGAAGGACTGGGTGCTGGCTTGTTTTCACTAGAGCTAAGGTAGCCTTAAAGACCGGACGGGACGTTGTGGGCACCCTTAAGTGTAAGATCGAGATTGTATCTAGAAGACTCACCATGCCGAGGTGTTTCAAATAGTAATGAATACATTCATGCACAAGAGTAATTTTCCCAAATTAATTAGGATTACTCCTATGTATAAAAGTATGCCAGCGTAGGTGTGCACAGAAGAGGTTCTGGAATGTCAGTCATCATATAACCATCAGTTAAAGCACACTCATAAATGTTTTTGTTTGAAAGATTGTACTAACCTTAATAAAAAATACATGTTTTCTGGGTCTGATGACTCAAGAAGAACTTGCAAGTCTATACTGTAACTTACTCATCTTATATAAATAAACTTTCCCCTTGTGAAAGGGAGTCCTATGGCATTAATAAATAGAGATCTTTCTCAACCAGACTCAGATTCTGTAAGAATCACTTAGAAACATTTAGACTAATTATTTGTTGCGAATTATTCACTTGACTCTGTCTCTTCAATCAAGAAGCATGGCTCTATTTCTTTCAGCAGCACAAGACAGTATAATGGAATATTCTCATATCCAACACCATTTAATTAAAGTCTCAACTGGGAATAGTCATGAGTCTGGCCAAAGTTTTGAACGTTTGAATGCAGGCCCACTGGAGTGAAAGCCCCACCTATTCAGTTTGCCTCTGCACCTGACTACACACCTATTTTCCTCAAGGAGCCAACCTTTAACGATAGTACATTTAAAGGCCAAAGTAGGGGTAAGATGGTACTGAGTGTCACATCCTGCCTTCAAAATAAACTCTATCCTAGTCACCAAGATTTACTCACAGAGATGACTGTTTTTTAAAGAACCACTGGAGGAGGCCATTTTTCTCACAACACTTTGGCAACTCTTTTAAAAAGTCTTTAATCTGTGTTGGGCCTTGTTGAGTTTCTTGGCAATGGAGATGGAGAAGGTAAAAATGCACTGTCTTCCAAACCCTTATGGCATAAATACACCAAGCTATGAATAAGGACTCTTTCTAAGTGACGAGTAAATATCTCCATTGCCTGATCCATCAGTGTCAGGTGCCAGAGCTCACACTTCTCAGATATGAATACTGAAGTCTGCAAATCTTTGAATCCCTTTGTGTATGAGTCGTGCTCTCTTTCTCTTTCATAATCTTCACAGTTGCTAGAGATTTTCACTAGGAAAAAAAATAAAAGGAGGAAATTGCAAGCAGAAAGAACTTTCAAACTGATGCACCCCAGCCCCTTAAGGAATTACACACTGATATTCAACCTTCACTTTTGCTTTTTTTTTTTTTTTTTTGTAATTTTATTTAGTGTAAAACAAAACAAAACCAACCACAAAAAAACCAACTCTCCACTCCTCAACCACCCCTAGCCATGAAAGACTGGAAAAGTATACTCCAAGAGAGAAAATGCAGATGAAAGACAATCACTTCCAAAAGCACCATGGGAAACAAAACGCCAGAGAACTCCCTAGCCTGAGGAAAGCTCTAGAGGTGAGCAGTCCAAAAAATTACACCAGCAGAAGCAGTCAAATTGGAGATTGTTGGGCATCCTGAAAATTTTCTACAGTCTAAGTGGAACTGCTCTGCCATGTGTTCTCAGTTGGAGCTCTCTACTCCAACTTTCTCATCTTAGCTTTGCTCCCTTTTCTTTTTCCTCTGCTACCTTTAACCTGCCTGATTCCCTCCCCCATACATTTCCTTTTTTTTTTACAGTAAAAATAAAAATGTTCTGAAATGTTATTTCCATCATGAAAAAAATCTCAAAACCTCCCAATATTTTTAAATGTGAAAATGATCTATGTAAAAAGAAACCCAAAGAAGCAGCTGTGTGCCACAGCAGCAATTACAATCCTGGAGAAGTTAAGATCCTGTTTGTGCTAGACTCCCTCTGTGCACACATACTCTCTCCTCACAGTCCTGACTGACTTAAAGGGAAGGAGCCATTGCATTAAAGCAGATTTGGAGATGTTTAGTGAGACCTGGCAATAAGCAAACAAATCAGGACTACTGACAGGTTTACAGGACAGAAGATACTGGGTGTGACACACCAGAAAATCACTTGCAGACATTAAACTGGCGCAAGTCTGTGGACTATGTTTTACTTACCAGTCTTGGGCTAACACCCAGGACTTTTCTTCCTTGCAAAGGTATGATGTCAGGCACATGGCAGTTCTTGAGATTCTGTGTAAGCCAGCATTGCCAGAGGCTCTGTGCAGGTGTGGTTAACAGTTATTTAATGATTCTTCACAATTGCATGTATCTGTCTGAACATAAATACAGTCTGATCGTAATCTTTCTTTTCACACCATGAATTTGCCCTAGTATTTCCACCCTTGCAGGTTCCCAAATGCCCAATGTCTGTTATTACAGACCTGAGATTCACTTCATCATTTCAAACCATTCACGAGCACTTTGCTGTCCTGTTGCCTTAGAAAGGTGAAGAGAATGAAGGCAATATATTTAATACAAATTCTCCAGTTTTTCACTTAAATTCTCTATGTTTGGCTCCCTGATGACTCACGGGACTCTCCTCCCTTCCCCATGTTTACACAGTGATGACAAGTACTGTCAACTTTCTAAAAGCAAAATTTTCAAAAAAGCCCAGAACACTGGCAATTCCTGGGAAAAACTCTCTGTCTTTCTCCTTTCCCAGCAGTTGCACGAGCCTTCATTCTAAATATTACTACAGTTCAATTAGTTAAAATAATTTTAAGTGATAGTTCAACTGTTTCTTTTCCAAAAGGTAATAGTTTTCCTAATTAGTCACTTGCTTTGATAAGGCACTGACTTTTACTCTAATCTAAATTAACAAGACTTTATCTACCTGAATCATTTAAACACACCCTACTTGCAAATCTGGTATGACTAAAAACCATGACAAGTGTTTGGTTTCATTTTACATTTGCTTCAAAGTGCCCCACTTGGAGGTTAATTATTAATCTACTAAAGTATACGTAAAGGTTCAGGGAAACAACAGGGTTAGTAGGTAGAGCAGTAGTGGAGGAATTAGGAAAACCACGTCCTATTCCCATCTTCAATCATGTAAGTTTGGCCAAGACATTCACAACCTGTGAACCTTTACTTAGAGAACCAAAATAGCAACACTCTGCACAAAGCACTTTGACATCTGTAGAGAAGAAATTTCATGGGTGTGAGGCAACAGGATGTTTATTCACACCTTAAAGAGACTGAAACTCAGTTAATCCCTTAAGAACTCACCTAGGAACTGGAAATCAAATACACAGTGGATGCAAATCAACTAAGTAATGATTTTATTACATCTGCAGCAACAGAAAGACCAGTTCCCCAGTCTTTTACTGTATTTCTCTGCCATCTGGAAGGTGGTTGAAAACATACTTGATTTCTGGAACCAGTTTGCGGGTTCCCTTGCAAATATAAATCCCCATTTCCCACCGCCCGAGGTACTGCAGTGGATGTACCCTCGGTGTAATTCTGCTCTCTGCTCCAGGAGTAAGCCAATAGCAGCATGGACCAGATTTTCAAAGATGGTTCTGGAGCTGTCCAGGGGATTGCAGAGAAAGAGCAAATGGAGGTCAGAAAATCCACAAGAAAGGTACACTTCAGGGGTAGTACTGCCAAATCCTGCCTCACACAGGTAAGTCTGACTGTCAACAGCCTGCTCCCGAATAGCTCCATTATAATGCATTTCACTTAGTCTTGGAAAAAAATAAAAATCAATAAAGTTTTCACATCATTATTTATTTATAGATTGGGCTAATGCTTATATAAATCACGGGATTTCACCCAGAAGTAGTTTTTTGAAAACAAAGAAATGACAAAAGAAATCCAACCCAGAAGTAAGAATGTTAAATACTTATTGCTCTTCAACTGGAATATTATTGGTAAGGTGATTAATTTGTTGATCCACGGTGCTATAAATAGTCCTTTAACTTTGTTGAATTGAAACATATCCTTCATATCTCTAGTCACTATTTACCCATGTAAAATATATGTGGGTTTGAGTTGGCTTAGGTGTACTCCAGCAAGGGCTAGCAAAGTTCAGTGAGTCTCCATCACATATTCGAAGTCCTTCATCCCTCAGTTAATTTTGCTGTAATTCTCTTGCAAAGTTGTTCACTTTACTCCATCAATGCACAGACTTGAAGGCAGTGAGAGGCTATTGTAACAGCTCAGCTGGTGTTTCCTCATATCATGGGCTAGTGATAGCAAGCCTCTGGCACCAATACCAAGTTTGATGCCAATAGATATTTGGTCTGGCACCAGCAAAAACAAGCTATGATGGTTTCTTTTTAAGTTTGTTTGTTTGGCACTAGTAGCAAAAACCATTCACTATGCTTGGCAGAGAGCCACAGAATTTCACCAAATGGCTTCTGCATCATAACTTCATAACAAGCATAACACAGCATAACTTCTAATTGCGGTGGAGCCTGCCCCTTAGCAAGCAATTCTGTCCTGACAATTATATCCGGGATTATCAATACATGCGCTGCTTTCCAATACCAGTTTCTTCCTTACTGTAAGAAAACTTTCCTTAAAGAGATCCACAAGCCCCTAAGTCCACCATTTGGATTTTGTCTCTCATGGTGCAGTTAAATGAAACCCCGTAATCAGCCATGAGAAAAGCCTATGGGGACTGTTACTGAATTAAGTCATCACAAAATATGTTGTAAATACTGTGTTGATTTAACCTCACCCTGCACTCTTTTATGTCACGTATTTCTCAGACTGCAAACCTGCAATATATTCCAGAGAGGTTCACTTTGTGCCAGTGTGGAACCTCATTCAAGCCCTGGAGGCTTAACACAGCACTAGTAAAAAGAGAGAATTAGCTATAAATTATCTGAGTCTCGGGACAGAGCAATCTCCATTTTGACAGCTCCTTGCTAAATGGTACAGCACTTTCCAGAGAGGCCTTGTGGTGGATACCTCAGCACAGGACAAGGGCTCCAGAGAGCTCAGTTCTACAGACAGGATGGCAACTGACTTACCAAATTACTTTCAGCAGGTCTCGCCTTCACTCCTTGTCACCTGTAAAACAGGAGAGCTCTGAGATTTGTCGGTGAAAAGGATGGTGTAAGAATCTGCAATTTTTTCTCCAGTACTAAGCATTAATAACAAGAGCAATAATGTCATTTCCTTCACAGGAGAAAATCTGCCTGCCCATTCTGTCACAATCCAGGGCTCCAGAGAAAAAAATTTGCTTAGATGCAGACATTTTTTATGGAAAATGAAGTGGGCACAGGGAGGAAGTGATACTAAGCTCTCAGCATGGGAAAATTTCATTCTGAGCAGTGTCTCCCAAGGAAATAAAGACTGCATGAAACCAAGTTGAAATGGAACTCCCCACTGTAAATTCGCCTCTTAGTACCTGCCAAAGACATGAGAAAATCTCTACCCAGAGGGAACGGCTGTCCTTGTGAAAAAGTGCCAGTCTTTCCCAATGTGGGAATTCACGCAGAAATGCATTCTGCTTCAGTGATCAAACTCTTCCTCTCAAGTTCTAAAGGAATTTCCACTAACCTCCTTTCTTACAGCTTGGTCTCTAGCTGGATTTCCTTCAGCTACAAAAATATACATAGTGCAATTAGCCAACCTTCACAGACTGTAGTTCATTTATTCATGCTAGGCACATCTCCTGCTGTGAGCAGCCCATCCAGAGCGAACTCTTTGAACTGGTCTATTGTTTCCCACGTAGTGTATTGCATTGTCCAGTTTGACCATTCCTGGCAAGGCAGTACACTCCTGCAGCTTGCCACAGGAGAAGAGATGATGGAGCACTTTGTCCAGCTGGTGCACTGGACATCTCAGATGCACGAATAAGCTTGCCTACCACTAATTTAGGACTCTCCCAGTCACCATAGAGACCTTTATTGACCAGTTGTTCTTGTAATCACCTTACCCGGAATCCCTTTCTAATCTATAGTTAGTGAACTGGAGAGACAGAAGGCAGAAAAGAGAAGTAAGAAAGAACTGTGTGAAAAAAGAAAAAAAAAAAGAAACTAGAAGAAAATACTTTTTATAACTTTTAAAAAACATTTAAACCAAGAACATATCGTGACACACCTTTGCACAATGTTTGCTGAACTAGAAAACCCATGTCTCCATGGTTTAAAGTACCATGGAGACAACGTAACTGGATCAACCAAAAATACACTCACAACCACCAGACAGTGTAGCATTTTTCTACATTTAGTAAGGAATATTTTTGTAATTGGTAGCTTGAGCAAACTGCAAAGGACTATACAACCTTATCTCTGAATACCCACTGGCAGACTATTCATGAATTAAATGAGTGAAATACTACAGAAAATGGGGAGCAAAACTGATCGTGTGATTTTCAAGCAACCATTCACATTTCTCCGTTTGTCTCTGACTGGATACTGTTTTGGGTAGGAAAAGAGAGGATCGTACATCAAAAAAAGTCCTGCTCTGCTGATCTAAAGAGGAAGAGACATTTCATTTTAGAACAAAGAATTTGATTTTTTTTTTTACATTGCTTCACTGGAGTTTTTTGGAGGTTTTTTCTTGGGGTGATGGGGGTGGGGTGTTTGGCTTTGCTATAATACAGCACATCAAAGTGCTTTTGATGTGAAGTTTACTTAACAGAATCAGTTTTTCCGATGATTGTGTTAATCTTTATAAACCTGAAGGCGATACTGTGCCTTTTAAAAAACTATAGCAGGAAAAGACTTGAGGTTACATATACTCTTAGTGGTGAGAGATGGGAATAGTTTGATTATTTCCCCACTTCTCACAACTTTGCTTGTGTTTCATGGGCAGCATTAGCAATGGGCTTGATATTGCTCTCACTCAGGCCAGGAAGGCCCTTTCATAAGCACCTTCATATATATTCTCAGGTCAGAGCCACCAGAGATTTCAAGGGACAGTTTACAACAGGCACTGGCTCAGAGATAGCAAAGGGGCCCTGAGCCACAACAAGAATCAGTGCTGATCTTAGAAAGGTTCCCTGCTCCCACCCATTAACAGCTATCTTTGTATTATTTTGAGTACAAGCTTCTGTCCCCTCTTAAATCTTGCAAAACCAGCTTTGCCATCCACTCCTAGTCTTGAAGTACGGCTGTGAAAAAGCTTCTGTTATGTCTGACGTGTTTACCTACAGCATTTGAATGACTTTTTAAGTTCTTTGAATAAAGATAAGAGACAATGTGTACATTTTCCACACAAATAGTGGAACGGTAATAAAATAAACATCAAAGGCAAGTTAGCAAATCATCACTACTTCACTGCTATTTACAACAAAAGCAGGAAGAGGAAAAAACCTACCCTTGCCATTGGCATCATTGTAGAAAATATGAGTTTTGGAAGGAATGATACCTTTTTCCCATACCCTTAAACACAAACATTGGCACCTACAGCTAAGACAACGCTTTACTGAAGGATTTCAGTTTACATTACATGGAGACAACAACAACAAGAAACCAAGAGAGGTCTCCCTCCTCTTATTTTTGTCTTACTGAATTGCCTGCTTTTCTCAACTAGTACAGCTTTTGTGAGAACAGCAAGACATGCATTGTATTATTGTTTCTATTAAAGTTATCAAGAATGCAATGAGAGGGCCAGAAGACACTCTCACTATAGTTTACGTGGTAAACTCATGCAGACTGAAGAAATGGTAAAGCTTTGAAACAAAATACAGGTGTGTGTGGGGGAACATATATTCTATTCAAGAGAGATCAAGATAGAAAGTAGGACTGTTTGTTTCTCCTCTTAGTCTTTTAAACCTGTCTTTTTTCATCTTCCTCTCCAATACTCCTTGAGACCCAGACCACAGTGGAATAATCCTAACCAGAGTGACTCTGCATTATGTATTTATTCTAAAATAAAATCTGATTTGGAAAGACTGCTTTTGGAAAATATGGAGCAATCCAACTCTTACTGCAGGACACAAAATTTGAAGCATACATATGAGAAATAAAACATAAGCACCACACTGGATTTCTGCTGATGTTTTTGTTATTGTTTTGCAGACGCCAGCGCTACTGCTGTATGAAGTGAAATGGCATTTTGCAATTGACTCTGAACAGTGAGCAGAACAGGGAGTTTTCAGAGAAGCTACCGCCAGCTAGCTCTCTACATTGAGTTGCTCCATCTAGCATAATGTTGAAGGAGAAAAAAAAAACTCTCAAGGAGGGCAAGACCCTGACAACTCTGACAACTTAAACCTAAAAACAAACCCAAAAAGGATGAGTAATTTTTTTAGAAAGACAAGTGTCTGGGTAAAATTGCAGAATACGTTGTCCCAAGTTTCATGGGAAATTTATAGATTCACAGTGATTTAAAAAATGTTAAAGCTACCATTAAAAAAAAAAAAAAAAAGAAAAAAAAGAACCCAAACCCTACACAATAAAAGATTGTACTAGAGAGTGGCAGTTGTAAGAGAGAGGTTACAAACACACCATCCCGAAGAGATCAAGCAATGCTACTACAGAAACAGTAGCACACGTAAAATTAAGGTTAAGGCTTGGACTAACTCTCTCATAGTAGAACTCCAAAGCATTGCCTACCTGTTCCCATTCTACCCCTGCACGGTTGTGCTTATGACAGAAGGAAAGAGAGAGACCAGGACTGAAACTATTTTGTCAGGCTACATAAATCATTAGGAATTCACAACTGCACAGCCATGTATTATTTTCCAACAGGTTGTTGAGCTGTCATATTACAACTTGTTGCTTTACACGGCGCTATTAAAATAAATCACTGCACGTAACAGGTTCAGCTCTGCCACCTATAAGTCATTCTGCATTTTACACCTGGGAGGCGGGCCGGCTCTGCTTAGTCGCGCCGAACTGCGGCTTCGTTCGAAATACCCGGGAAGGGGAGGGACCTGGCAGGAGAAAATACAAACAAGTTTCGTAAAATAACTTTCCAACAAGACCTCGCTGTCATCTTGGCTAATTACGGCTCTGATACGGCTTATTAGGGCATACCCACCTTTGCTACCTTGCTTCTCCACCCACCACCCTTTCAGATCTTTGTCCTGGCTCCGCCTCTCTCCGGCGTTATAATGGGCTGGTCTGAAAGTGGTGGAGAGACACACAACCACAGGGGAAGGGAGAGATAATGACAATAACACTAATAACCCTAATAACCCGTCTGCTGCCCGCCTCGCAGCGAGGAGCCAGCCCGGCGTCCCGGCACTGACAGGGGTCGAAGCCGGAGAGCGGAGTAACCCCGACGGCCCTCGAGAGCTTCTCCCCGCGCCCGGGGAGCGCCGAACGGTAACAGCGGCAGCGCCCCCGAGCAGCACCGAGCCCGGGCGGACACGGACAAGTGCCGGCTCCGGCAGCCGCCCGCCCGCCCGCCCTCTCCTCACACCGGCTCCACGGGGCCCGCCTCGCCCCTCTCCTTCGGCCCCATGGAGCGGCGAGAGTAAAGAGAGAGAAGGACAAAAAGAGGCGAAAGGAGAGCGAGCACCCCAGTGGGGGAGAAGGAGGTGGAAGCCCGGAGGAATCGCCCAGTCCCGAGGGCGGCAGGGCACCGCCGCCCGTCCTCGGCGCCCACCGGCCGCCAAGGGGCCGGCCCCTGCCAGCGACCGCGGGCCGGCGGGCTGAGGCCGGCGCGGAGCCCCGCTGCCCTGCCCTGACCGTCTCGCCCGCCGCCGCGGAGCTGTCCACTCCGGCGAGGGCGCAGAAAGCCCCCGGGTCGCCTCGCTGCCTCCCGCCTCCCTTGAGGCCGCGCCGAGGGGCGGGGGTCGCTCCCGCCCAGCGGAGCCGCGAGGTGCGGGGGGGCCGGCGGCGCCGCCGCCATGAAGCTGGAGGTGTTCTCGCAGCACTATGAGGACAAGCTGAGCACCGGCAGCGACCAGGAAGGCAGCGGCTCGCTCTCCCCGGCTCCGGCGGAGAGCGAGCTGGGCTCGGACGGTGACTGCGCGGCCAACAGCCCGGGCGGCGGGGCCGGCCGGCCGGGGCATCCCCCGCCGCAGCCCCCCACGCCGCAGCCCCCGCCACCGCCGCCGGCCGAGAGCGCCAAGGGGAAACCCTACACGCGGCGGCCGAAGCCGCCCTACTCCTACATCGCGCTGATCGCTATGGCCATCCGCGACTCGGCCGGCGGCCGCCTGACCCTGGCCGAGATCAACGACTACCTGATGAGCCGCTTCCCCTTCTTCCGCGGCGCCTACACCGGCTGGCGCAACTCGGTGCGCCACAACCTCTCCCTCAACGACTGCTTCGTCAAGGTGCTGCGCGACCCGGCGCGGCCCTGGGGCAAGGACAACTACTGGATGCTGAACCCCAGCAGCGAGTACACCTTCGCCGACGGCGTCTTCCGCCGCCGCCGCAAGCGCCTCAGCCGCGCCGCCCCGCCGCCGCAGCCCGCCCGCCCCGCCGCCGGCGCCCCGCCGCAAGTGCCGCAGGAGGCGGCCGGAGCGGGCGCCGCGTCCCCCGGCGCTTCCCCGCGCTGCTGCTGCGCCTCCTCGCCCTGTCACTGCGCGCCGGGCGCCAAGGAGGCAGCGGCGGGGGGCGGCGGGGCGAGGCCGGCGGGCGGCGGCGGCGCTGCCAAGTTCTCCAGCTCCTTCGCCATCGAGAGCCTCCTGCAGCGGCCGGCAGGACCCCGCGCCGCCCCGCAGGCGCCGCCGACCCCGCACGCCCGCCTGGTGTGGCCGGCGCCGCCCGCGCCCCCGCACCTGCTGCCCGGCCCCTACCCGCTGCTGCCGTACCCACCTGCCGCGCAGCCCCCGCCCGCCGCCCTCTACGGCGGGGGCCTCCTGCAGCTCTGCGCCTACGGGCTGGGGGAGCCGTCGCCGCCGCCGCTGCTGCTGGGGGCCGGGCGGCCCGCGCTGGCCCCGGCGGAGCCGTCGCCGCTGGCGGAGCGGCCGCGGGCGCCGCTGTTCCACGGCGGCCTCCCCAAGGGCGGGCGGGGGCCGCCGCCCGGCTCCCCGCTCTACGGGCCCCTCCGGCTCGCCGGGCCGCTGCCGCCGGCGGCGGGGGGCTCGGCTTCGTTCCAGCCGTACGCCGTGGAGACCCCTCTGGCTTAATGGAGCCCCCCTCCTTCCCCTGCGAGGGACCTGCCCGGGGAGGCGTGGAGGGGGGAAAGGAGGAGGCTCTGGATCCCGCACTTTAACTCCAGAGGCGACCACAGCCTCCAAGCAAAAGCCTCGGTGACTGTGCCTTAGTGAAATGACAGTGGGTTTAACTTAAGCCAAAAAAAAAAAAAAAAAAAAAAAAAAAAAAAAAAAAAGCAAGAAAAAAAGAAAAAGAAAAAATTCAAACAATTGTCGGTTTGGACATAGCCATGAGCCTCAAGTGCTTCTTACTGTTCGTTGAGACTACTTGATTTAAGCCAGTCCCTCGCCACGTCTTTTCTATGCCCCTCTCTTGTCCCCACATCTCCTGCTACCGAAGCCTGGGGCAGCAGAGCGGGGGTGCCCCGCGGAGGGGCGCGGTGGCGGCCGCTGGGGGATGCGCTGTGCGCTTGGGAGGGCGGGGAGGAGGGAGGGGGCCGGGAACAGCAGGGACACAGGAGGGGAGGGGGCCGGGGTCTGCTGTGGAGCCGTAGGTCTGTACTGCAAAGCAATGCATCACTGTGCCAAAAGAAACCTTTTCTCCTGTCCGGCAACTAGCATTTCGTGGGAAGGGAGGATAGATATTAAATTATTTATAAAAGCAGTGTTTTTAACACAAAGAGAGTGCAGCTTTTTTTATTAATTATTGGAGAGGCAGGAGAGGGGACAGGGCTCAAGGAAATGTCAGGCGTTGTCTCCTGTACTGGCTGGCGTTCTACATTTATGGCCAAGACCACTGCTACTGGAAAGAGAAGAGTAATTTTTTTCGTATTTTATTTTTGTGTTTGTATGTAATATATGTGCGTGTGCATTTTATTGACGCTCGGCCACGATGTTTTTCCGGTTTTTTTCCTTTCTCCTTTCCCCCGAATAAAAGCTGCCCCCTAAATAAAGGCGGTAATAAGGAGAAGAGCGTGATGTCTGGTCTGGCGTGAGGGAGGGAAGTCTGTCGTGGGATAACCTTGACCGAGAAGCTTGGCTAGGGCCGCGGGGGCAGCAGGGCTGCCCGCCCTTTCATCCCCATCCCTGCCGGCGGGTAGAGGTGCCACCTATGGACCCGCCTAACCTCAGCCATGGGAGACGAGAGGTTCTCCTCTAGGGCTGCCGCTAGGTATGAAAGTCCTCTGCGATTCCTCGAGTCAGATCAGAATTTCCCGCGGGGCTAAGCCCTGCAGTGCAGAAATACTGGCGATTCGATTTGCAGGCGGAGAGATTTGCAGGCAAACTGCCTGACGTAGGGGCAGCCTGTGAAAATCCTGTACATCTGCCTGTCTTCTTCTTTTTTTTTTCTCTTGTTATTTTTCCCACGAAGGACATGTAATCCTGTTGTCATCTCTCAGTCCAAGGAAAACTCGCTCCAGGAAGGTCGTTGGCACTACCGGGCTCCGGCTGCTTCTGGTGGTGATATCCCCGCTGGCACCTACAGCGGGCGAATCCTCAACGGGGTGAAGGCTGGGGAGTATCTGCTGCTAATAAAAAGTTTGCACGTGTTGCCTTCTCCCGATGGGTGTTATGTTAAGGCTGATTTGTATTATCAGAAGTGATCAGCAAAGTCTCAGAAAGGCTAAGTCGGAAAAAGGAAAGGTAGGGGAGCTAACTGCCTGTGCTGCTGAATTACAAATCAGTGTCGTCCCCGAACTCGAAGAGTTTATACAAATGCTGAAATGATCATTCGGGGTTCGTTTGTTCGGTTGTTTGTTTTAATTAATACTGTAAAAAGTATGAAAATCGGCGGGCTTTTTTCCCCTTCAAGTCCTCTGTAAGCGCAGGTTACCTAAAAAAAGATGACAAGGAGAATTTTGGGCACTGGACGGTCTTCTCTCTAATTACATGTATTTTGAACCTTGGAGTTTCTCTCCGTCTCTTTTTCCCTCAGCGCCGAGATTCGGTGGCTGACTAACTTTTACCCTACTCGCAAAAATTATTCTGAACAGCAAAGGTGTGTTGTGAAAGAAAAGCTTCAAACAGAACAATCTGCGGCCGAAAACACCGACTTGTTTCAATACAGCTCAAACAGATTTCACGGTGTGTTTAGCTCAGACCATAACATGCATCAGAACATTGCGAGAGATTAGTGACTAATGTATGAAGTAATCCAACCCTTGAAGGAATTGGTTTTTGTGTACACACGCGCATGCACACATACACTATTTCGACATCATTCTGCCTTCAAGGCTCTGTGCAAATATTAATCTACCCTTCCACAATCTACTTTTTCCTTTGGCTTGTATTTTACCATCTCTTTTTTATAGGAGTCCACATTACCTGTCAGCATGCAACTCCTAGCATCTTTTACTTTCGCCCATCTGTAAAGGTCATATTTCAGGGTATGTTAAAATATCTTGATGGAGAGTGGAATTTGTTATTATAGCCACAAGTGTGTATTTTTATCGGGGGTTTTTAAGTGTTAATAGGGATGAATTGTATGTAAACGCATGCTTAACAGGACGTCATTGAGCTTTTTACTTTTAGAAAATAAGTACACTAAAAAAGGGGGGAAAAAAGGAAAAAAAAAACTACAAAGTTCGATATAGCCCTTGTTAATAAGTATTCTATTCTGTATTTATCTTCTATGAAATTCCTTTTTATGTCAAGAAAGGTATGTCAACAGTACAGCAATAAGGATATCTGTGTCCTCGCGGTCCTCTCTTAGCCCTTGTCTGGATTTCCTCAGACGGCCGAAATGAGGGTTTAAAGTGGTCCCCGGTGCGGGGCGATGGGAACAGGTATTGCCTGATGTCCAGAGCTCGCTCGGCAGCGGAGCTGGGACGCTATCACTTGCTGACACGTAGGGAGGGTCTTCTCCGCCTCCTCCTGCC